CTGGCCACGAGGATGGCAGAAGAAAGCTGAAATAAGAGTATTATTGCAAATCTGTTAATCTGCAGTGCCTGGGGCTCAGCAGCTCTGCGGGATTGTGGCAGGAAAGGAGGAGGAGGAGGAGGAGGCTGGGGTGAGATCAGTGCTGGGGCCGTGGCAGGGACCAGAGCAGCACTCTCCCCTGCTCCTTACAGCTCATTCCTTCAGCATCCTCTCCTACCCCCTCTGGAAGTGTGGGGAGGAGCAGCTGAGGGAGCTGGGGGTGCTGAGCCTGGAGCAAAGGAGGCTCAGGGGAGACCTTCTGGCTCTGCACAGCTCCTGACAGGAGCCTGGAGCCAGGGGGGGGTCGGGCTCTGCTCCCAAGGAACAAGGGACAGGACAAGAGGGAACAGCCTCAAGTTGCCCCAGGGGAGGTTGAGGTTGTCCCTGAGGAACAATTTGTTCCCCTGGAGGGTTGCCCAGGGCTGTGCCAGGCTGCCCAGGGCAGTGGTGGAGTCCCCACCCCTGGAGGGGTTTCCAAGCCGTGGAGATGTGGTGTGAGGGACACGGGGCAGTGGGGACCTGGCACTGCTGGGTTAAATTATCTTAATGACCTTAAAGCTCTCTTCCAACCAAAACAATTCTAGGAAGGCAGAGAAAAGCACTTTTTAACAGTATTCTGCATATTTGAAAGCCTTCCCTCCCCTTTCAGACTTGCTTCATTAGGTTGAAGGACCCCAATCAGCTCAGCTATCCACGAGCCTGGGTTTTAATTGTCCACGAGCCTGGATTTTAATTGTCCTTGGCACCTTCCTCAGGGTCCCTCCCCCCACAGTCCATCCTCTGCCCTGAAAGGAGACACCCTGAAGAGACACAATACCCCAGAGCTGGAACCCTCCCAACCACCACCGGCCGGGGCGCTGGGAGATGAATGGGCTCTGAGGTGGCATAACAGAGTTTTGGTTTTTAATTAGAGTTCAAGGAATGTTTCTCCCTGTACGACAAGAAGCAGAAAGGGAAGATCAAAGCCTCGGAGCTGCTGGCCGTGATGAGGTGCCTGGGAGCCAGCCCCACCCCAGGGGAGGTGCAGAGGCACCTGCACCTCCACAAGATCGGTGAGAGACCTGAAGAAAGCAGCTGGGATGGGGTTGGAGAAATTCCACTTTTCTTTGGCCAAGGAGGCTGCCTGGAGCCTGGGAGATGAGAGCCACTCGCTGGTGGACCAGCCCAGGCCATGCAGCACGACCAGGAGCAGCCACCCAAACGTGGCCTGAGGTGCTCTGAACAAAGCCAGCCCAGCACCCAGATCAAAATAGTGCCATTGAAAAGTCAAACTGACACACAATGGGAGGAAAACATGTTGATTCTGGATTATGAGGCTGGGAAATGTCCCAGCCAGCAGAAACAGGGGAGCAGAGACAGTTACATCTCTGCAGAGGTGTGTGAAGCCAAAGCATGGCACAAAGACCAAAGCAGAATCATGAGATAAGATGGGGGGGTTCAAAATTCTGGGTACAAGCTCTCAGGGCACGATTCTAGCAAAGCTCTAAATGGGTTTTCTGACCAGGAGAAAGCCCCCAGCAGGGAATCCACCCTGGTCCAGACCAGCCAGGCAAAGGGGGAACGTGCCCTGGGAAGGGGAACTGGGTGTGGAGAGAGGGAGGATGCTGGGGGGGGATCCAGCCTGCAAAGCCAAGTCGTTCCCAAAGAATCTGCTCCTGTTTTTTCCAGACAGAAACGCAGAGTTGGATTTCTCCACTTTCCTGAACATAATGTACAGGCAGATGAAGCAGGAGGAGCCTGAGAAGGAAATCCTCACAGCCCTGTCCATGATAGACAGGCAGAAGAGAGGAGTCATCACTGTTTCAGAGCTGAGAGCCAAACTCACCAGGCTGGGAGAAAAGCTTTCTGAGGAAGAAGGTATTTTCCAACTCAAACACTCTCCCCAGCATCTTGTTTCCTTCCTGCTGCTCCTCTACTCAAATCTGGGATGAGATGCCTCCAGCTGGGAAGAGAGGAGGGACCTGGCAGCAGGAGACAGCTCTGGTGGCCCTCGGTGGGGGGGAAGGGGTGTCCCCCCATCACACCAAGATGTGCCCCCATGGCCCCAGGCCCACCCCACCAGCACCAGTCGCTTCTCATGAGGAGGGCAGGGATCAGCCCCTTGGACTGGGCACTGGGGAGGCCACACATCCCATCCTGGGCTCAGTTTTGGGCTCCTCAATCCAAGAAGGACCTTGAGGGGCTGGAGCGTGGCCAGAGAAGGGCAACAGAGCTGCTGGGGAAGGG